CCCCCCCCAATATTCAAAACAGAAGGACAGTGTTGGAAAGCCAAGGGCAGCACAAAGGCAGGAAGGACTCTTTTTAGGTAACCAGCATGTGAAGAACCTCTCTCAGTCAGATCACAATGGGTTCAGCATCATGTAAAAAGTTGTGGCAATCACAAACAACTATTTGTGATGTCAGCTCATCATAGCAGAGCCATAGGTAGCATATGAGCTGGACTCTCATGTTGAATAGCAACCCAGGCTTCCTCTACATGCCTTCAAAGCAGGCACCCCATCCCCTCCGCCCCCTCCCCACCCCCAGCTGTCGAGCATCTCATGGAGGACTGTGACCTGCAACAAAAAAAGGGTGTATTGGGTGGCATCCCTCTGGAATAGTAATAAAGCTCGTCTCCCCAAGCCTGGCTGACTTTCACAGGGGAAATGTTGGGAGTTGCACTGCATTGAAATGTCTCTTCTGTAAGGGAAGGATGGGCAGTCAGGGGACAGTATAAGAGCTCTTATAAGAGACGGTATAAGTATCAGTCCCTGCCTGCTTCAGGGATGATCTGAGCCCTGGGTCCCTAGATGCTCTGAGACAGTGTAGGAAGTACCTGCCACAGTTCCTGGATGGGGACCTAGCCCCTCCCTCCCTGGCAACCCATCCCAGCACCACTGCAGGGCCTGCTGCCCATTCACAACTCTTGCTTTTCCAAGCTTTGTGCACTACCAAACAGAATGTTATCCTTCTTTCTTAATTCAACTGAAACTCTACTACTAGAGATGAAATTATCCAATAATACCTATGTAAAGTGATCAAAATAAAGGGTGAACATTATTTTTAATCAAAACAAATTTGTTCCTGAGTTTTTAATCAGATTAATTGGAGATTTAAATTAATTGTTGATTGAATTTAGAAGAAGGCATTGTACTAGCTAAGTTTTGAACTGATTTTAATATTGTATCTCTAGTAGGAGTTTCTAAAGACCCTCCACCATTCTTAAGGAGCGCTTTTCTGAAGACTTCAATGTCATTTTCTCTTTTACTCATTTGTCTATGATGATTCGGAACAGTGAACTTTCAATATTACTTCTTAAGTAAATCTTAACTGGATGCCCTTGATTTAGGCTTCCTTTGTACTTTTTGCTCCATAATCAATATATGCACAATGGAAACTATTGCATTTTTAGAAAACATTTAGTGCAAGCTGTTACTGACCAACCCCCAAATGCCAATCTGACTTGGATACTGATTCCTCTAGTAATCTGGGTCAAATTATTTTACCTTTTTACCTTAATTTACCTTGTAGTAAAATAAAGGTATTTTCCAGTCCTAAGAAAAACTGCAATAAATATTCTTGAAAAAGATAGTTTTTATTAAGCCTTTGCATAATGTCTATGTTAGACCCCGACTCCATGCGGCGCCCAATGACTAGGGAGACGATGGTCCAATTGCTCATGGATCCTGGTACTCATTAGCCAGAGCAAGCAGGGAGCAAACACCAGCACACATTGCTCACAACAGCTTTTTTCAGAATGGAAACTGCTTCGGTCAAAGGTCCCAAAAAGCAACAAACCAGGGACCTGCATTGAACATTAGTTCTTTTCACATTTTATACACCGTGGTTCATACATATTAACATTTGCTCCGCCTTCATCCCTCCATTGGTTCCACCCATTTCTCCTCCCATCTCAAGCTCCACCTCTGTTTACTCTTTGCTTCCTTAGCATGCTATTGCCTGTGCATTTCATTCATTTATATGCCTCCCTACTAAGAGCACATGCGTAAGACTTTGACCCCATCTTCTTTTGGTTACTTGCAGTTTCTCGCTGGTTCTTTCTGGTTTTCTTGCTGACTTCAGCACCATCTCCAAGGCTATACTTCTGCGTTGTCTCCTGACACTGGTGGGCTGCATTCTATTTTTACTCAACACATCATGTACTTTGCACCCTATCCTTTTGTTAAGAATCTGCTTACTTAAGCATTAGCTAATTTAATTGCTTTTAATATATATCCAGCCTTGTGACCAGCAGCTTTTGCTGAGACACAGGAAAAAGGCTTCATTCTGCTGCAAGCTCAGAACTCCCCAAAATCTAGATTGTTACTCCAACACCCAAAATCCATATTGTTACCCTAACAGTCTGTACCACTTCGCAGTTCTCTCAGAAATGCTACCCTAAAGGATATCATGCCTACCCATTTCTGCTCCACACACACCAAACCTGGAAATGAAGAAATAAAGTTGCTCCAAGGGCATCTCCTGCATTGTCAAACATGCGAGAGATGGTGATCTTGAGAGTAGGAGAGGGGAGCATCCTTAGGGTAACCTCAGTGCCAGATGTCCAAGGTTCCCAGTTCTATTCCTATACTATTTCCTGCCACTAGTTGCTGTGTTTCTATGTTATATCCCTTTTTGCCTGTTTTTTGGTTTGATAGCAAACTGAACACCAGTTTGATTTGGTGAACTATCCTCAGTGTCACTCTAAGTTTTCATGTTTTTTGGCAATTCCAGGTATAAACTTTGTAAGTACTAGCAATCCTACAGACTTTCTAATGTCAATGTATCAGTGTCTGACTCTGTTCTGTGCTGTTTTTTTAAACATCTATATAATTTGGCTTCCTGCAGAGATAACTGTTATTTTTCAAGTGAAAGCTTTTATAGTGGAGAGAGGAAAGCCACTATATTGTGTCTTGGTGAGTATACCCATACTTATTCTTTTTTCCTTTTTTTCCTTTTTTTTTTGTTCACATTATTTAAAACAAGTAATTAGTAGAGCTAATCAAATCATTTTTGGAAAATAAAAATTCTACCTGAACAACGAGACTCTTCATGGGAAAATTAATTTCCTCTATTTTTGATATGGTCTAACTATTGGAACTGCAAGCACTTTTGCAAATGGAAAGCGTAAAATAATATTAATTGAGAAATTATTTCATCCATTTATTTGAAGGATATTGTGAAAGTAATCCAAATATATGTAACTTGGAGCTGAAAGTTGGGGCAATTATAGAAACAGTTTTACCATTTGTTAGAAAGATTAAAGTATCATCTAACTTAAAATGAGAGAACTATTTCACCTCTAGCATATAGTTGGAACCTTTTATCCAGGGAAAATGGTTTGTATTTTATTCATACAGTTTCACAGGTATACAGTGTAATTTTCTAAACAAATCAAACCAATATCCTGATCTATACAACAGATACTCTAAAGTAAACTCTGAAAAATGTGAAAAGGTTGCAAACAGAAGAACACTCCAGGAAAAAAAAAATCTCAGCCTTGTATAATCATCTCAAAGCCTTTTACAGAGGAATTCTGTATCATTGTTCCTATTTTACAAGTCACTTCACAGAAAAGTTAAGAGATTAACTAAAGACTAGGATGAACTAGTGGGGCAGTAGCAGAGCCCAGAAAAGGACCAAGATATCCAGAGATACATGGCAAGGCCATTTACATAACCATAATGTAATTCAGGTAAGTAGCATATGAACCTTAAAGGTTACCTGCTGTGTTTTTTTTTTAATGCATGAAAGACTATGGACTTGATTCTTCTCTCACATCAGTTCCATCAGGAATATTTAAATAAAGTCATGAAAGTTCTCATTTACTGATAAGAACAATTTTAGGATAGCCATTATCATTCTCCTTTAAGAAGAAAATTGAGCAAAAAAGGAGTGTGTCAGTGTGACCTCTATGAATACAGAATGCAAGATTCAGGAGTTGGAAGCTACATGTAAGGTGCACATGGTACAGGAGACAAAAGGGGGTTAATCAGATAAGCAGTTTAGTCCTAGTAAAGAAGTAGTGAGGGGGAGCAATGAAAGCAAGTAAGAACAGATAAGCTTATGCACTCATTAAGTCTCTATGATCAGGTAATCAGCTGTTAACATGATTACAAGGTGAGCATTTTGGATTAAGGATTTTAGACCTTTAAAACATAAGAAGATGAATCCCCAGAACATAATAGTGAGAAATATCCTTTTTACATTACAGGAAAAAGGTTATCTGTCATATTAGCTATTCAAGAATTGGAAACATTGGTTTTACATTTCTTGCAGGACCCAGTGGAAATAAAAGATTACCAGTACGCAGGAAGGTTTCAGAGGAAAACGGCCAATGTCACCTTTCAAGCTACAAAAGCTATAGTGAGCGAATTTTTATGTTGCCTCCCAGGTCACTGTGATGACTTACAGTTAACATTCTCAGCATAGCACTGGTAAGAACTAAAGGCTTACTCAGCAGAAGTAACCTAAGGTGAATACACTTGCTTCCTCATGTGGGGTCAGTGTGATCTGAAAATGCTTCATACTGTGCCACCATCAATATTACTCGATAGGGAATACAACTAAATGAAAACAGGGCTAGCAATGACCTTGGGGTAAGTGACAAACACCTTATATTACAGCAGTTCACAAGTGGCAATAAGTAATAGGGCTGGCAGTAATTAACTGAAGCAATGCAGAGAGAATACATGAGCCTGGGAAGTGGGCCAAGAAAAGAATAGAAATAAGAGACTGAGTTGAATGGTGGGGGGAAAGACATTTTGGTTTAGGATAGGAGACTTATGAAGGATAATAATAGTGTTGTGGGCTATCATTGGGAAGTGGTGACAAACTGGATGAATACTATATAAAAATGAAGATTGTGGGTGGTGTTGATAGCCACAGTTAACACTATTTTATATTTTTGTTTTTGTCTCAAGCAAAACATATGGTTATGATTATTAACAAGCATACACACACATGCACACACATGTTTGAGATTATACAAGATCATAGAAAAGAGGCC